AAGATTTTCGTTCGTGCTAAATAAAGTACACAAATTCTTCAGTCGTACCAGACATTTAAGTAGTGTTACACCCGTTAATATCACTTCTGTACGTCTGGATTTTCTTTTACCTGCATAATGTCCAGAGTTTTTTCTTATTACTGTGCCACGCATATATCAAACAAACAATTCCGAAAATCATTATTATTATATTCGAGTGAATCAGATATGGGTATCGATAATTTTGAATAACAAAAAATTTTTGATCTTTCTTTCTTCCCTTTTCACACATTCCTTTTTTTCTCATTAGTAAATCCAAAAAAAACTCTTAGGTGTGAGCATCATTGAGAAATCAACAATAGATCATATGGTAAAAATTCAGGAAATTAATCAGGAAAAATTTAATTATCATTAGAGAACTTAATTTGTATATACGTAAGTGGGTGCAACGTACGTACATACGTACATCCCTTTTTTTTTTTTTGGAAAATCTGACTCTATCGCTATTCAAACAATACGATTAACTTAACAGTTTTACTTGTTTAATTATTTATCATTGGCATTAAAATATTAAAATTGATGTAGGTGTGACAATCATCTTGGCTACGATGTCACAAAGCACATTTTCAAATAATTTATGATGCTATTTCTAGATTTCTCGTCTACCGGTGTCCTTGCTGCGATTTAAATCGGTCTTGCCAAGCCTCTCCAAGCACGCAAAGCAGTCTCCGAGGTTAGTCTCCAAGATATTAATGTGTTGTTCCAAGAAATTGAGTGATAGCATTTGATCGTACACGATTACTGTGGCACGAGCTGAATCTTGCAACACACATCTCTGCTGGGAATCCATAAAAGACCTGCTCCATCCATCCAAGTGGTATCTGAGTATCCATTTGTCACACCTTACTAACGTGAATAGCTGCACCACCACTCAGCATTTCCTCACTTTACCCCATTTTTTTTTTTTTCTTCTTTTCTTTTTTTTTCAAGCAAACGCCCTAAATATCGTAGCGTATTGCTGTCCACATTTTTCACAAAGGTATTAGATTGCACTTTTAATGTGACCTCTCTTCTACTTGTTTAATGTTGACCATAAGTCGAAGGAGAACAACCAACCTATGAAGAACATCGCGAAATGTTCGGAAAGATATTTCTTGAATGTTAATAAATTATCACTTTTTTTAATATAAAAATAGGCCTAATTTGCATTTTCCTTAATATATAAAAGACATGGAAGACGAAGTCGCTGCTGTAAGTGAGACATCTTGCGTACTATCTAACAACTTGACACTCTTGCGAGTTTTCTTTAAAAAGTGACTACGTCACTGAACACGGTTTTGCCTTATATGTCTTTTGCTTGACAAATTCTTCTTTTGTGAAACTGATTATTTTTCGTGTCATTTCTTTCTTGTGTGGTAACTGACGTTTCTCATCTCTCTCGTCTTAATATAGCTTGTCATTGACAATGGTTCCGGTATGTGCAAGGCTGGTTTCGCTGGAGATGATGCGCCACGAGCTGTAAGTAAATGTTTATTTTTCCTTTGGATGTGATTTTTCGGTGGAGTAACGTTCGGGACTAGTGTCTTCGATTTGCATAAATGACGTGAATTTTCTTCAGAGAAAAAAACGAATTGTAAAAGATTCCTTATAAAAATGCATTGAATGGATGGATGTTATTCTTTTTCGAAAGTGCGACACTCGGGCACATGTAGAACGTACATCTAATTCTCAAATACTATGCGATCAAATTGAATTCATAGGTTTTCCCATCCATTGTGGGTCGCCCCCGTCATCAAGGTGTGATGGTCGGTATGGGTCAGAAAGATTCATACGTAGGCGATGAAGCTCAATCCAAGCGAGGTATCTTGACACTTAAATATCCAATTGAACATGGTATCGTAACGAATTGGGATGATATGGAAAAAATCTGGCATCACACTTTCTACAACGAGCTTCGTGTCGCCCCCGAGGAACACCCCGTGCTTTTGACTGAGGCACCGCTTAATCCTAAATCGAACCGTGAAAAGATGACGCAGATTATGTTTGAAACTTTCAACGCGCCTGCTTTCTATGTTGCTATCCAAGTAAGTCTTTATAGGAGATTTATCTGTAATTCGATGATCCTTGCGATAGTTCAAATAGATGTTTAAATTTCTTTGTTTTTTTTTTAAAAAAATATAGGCCGTTCTTTCATTATATGCATCTGGTCGTACAACCGGTATTGTCCTTGACTCCGGTGATGGTGTCACTCACACTGTACCCATCTACGAAGGATACGCCCTTCCACACGCCATTCTCCGTCTCGATTTGGCCGGTCGTGATTTAACCAATTATCTCATGATCATTCTCATGGAACGTGGTTACTCATTCTCCACCACTGCCGAACGTGAAATTGTCCGTGACATCAAGGAAAAACTCTGCTACGTAGCTTTGGACTTTGAACAAGAAATGCAGACTGCTGCTCAATCATCAGCATTGGAAAAATCATACGAATTGCCCGACGGTCAAGTTATTACAATTGGAAATGAACGGTATATATTTCTCCATTTTTAACCGTTTCATATTATTATTATTTAATTCAAGGTAGAAATTTTCTCATTCTAATTTATATTGAAATAGTTTCCGTGCTCCCGAAGCCCTCTTCCAACCTTCTTTCTTGGGTCTTGAAGCTTCGGGTATTCACGAAACCACTTACAACTCTATTATGAAATGCGATGTAGATATACGTAAAGATCTTTATGGAAACATCGTTCTTTCTGGGTAAGTTTCTTATTTTAACTTGACGTTTTGTCATAACTTTTATAATTTACTAATTAACTTTAATCTTTCTGTAAAAAAGAGGTACCACCATGTATAACGGAATTGCAGACAGAATGCAAAAGGAAATCACAGCATTAGCACCCTCTAGTACGTTTTATTCGTATTAACGATTTATGTTTATTATTTATTTAATTGTTTGTTTAACTAATTATTTATTGCTCTTATCCCTATCAGGCATGAAGATTAAGGTGATTAAATTGAACCAACTATTTTGTACTTTGCAGATTCAATTTTATTTATCTAATGTTTTCTGAATTCTATTAATCTATTTAGATTGTTGCACCTCCAGAACGTAAATACTCCGTCTGGATCGGTGGATCCATTTTGGCTTCGGTATGTATTTTTACCCTGACATTAAAGATTCCTTTTGGATTGTGTTGGTGATATATTTCTGTTTATTTACCCTTTGTTTTTTGACGTCACCTAGCTTTCTACCTTCCAACAAATGTGGATCAGCAAACAAGAATACGATGAATCTGGTCCTTCTATTGTTCATCGCAAATGCTTCTAGAGAAATCATGTGCTTGTTTTTCTATATGGTTACAAGGTTTTCTTTTTGGAGTTATTATTACTGTAGTCGTTATAGTTTTGGGATAGTAATTTTTTTAAACTTTCAATCTAACTTAGGCAATATTTGGGATACTCCAAATAAAAAAAAAGAATATTTATAAAAACCAATCCCAATTGTTATTCAATATATTTTAATCGACCTTTTGGTCACACCATCATTTGTATTACTTCGATCCAAATAAATTATCTTTCTTTT